GATTTGGGTGGCGCCTGAATTGGGGATTTGGGTGGAGGTTCAACTTAGGGATTTCAATGTCGGGCGGCCAAAATGGAAGTGCTGGGAAGGTGATGACTGGAGTAAAAAGTCCATAATAGGCAGCTGAACTTGCAAGTAAATCACGCCGTCTGTCCACGTCTGCTGCCAATTAGGATTTCTTCTATCCACGTCTGCTGCTCTTCAAACGGGTTTCTGGTGGGTGACGGATGGAGGGAACGTTCGACAAGTTCAGTGATCGACCAGCAGCATATTGAAGTTCAGTGACCACAACGTGACAATGATTGAAGTTCAGTGACTAATGAAACTTTTTACTCTGCATTATACTGATGGTTTTTTCAAGAAAACTTCTCAAGCCGAAATGAAAAGTATATTTTAAGTCGGGTCGAATAATTGTCAAGAATATGGACACGAATGTTAGCTCTACGGTTATAATGTTGTTCGTTGTGCTCCTCTCTTCTTGAAGGAAATCGATAGATTAAAGAGTCGATGCTTGCCCTTGTTATCGTTCAGTTTGGAAAATATGGTGGTTCTGTTTAGATTACTATTTCTATGATTGTTTGCTAATTTATTGGTTGAGTTCTTTTCTTTTTGGTGATTTACTTCTGGATTTGGGTACTGGATTCATTATTNTTAGATTACTATTTCTATGATTGTTTGCTAATTTATTGGTTGAGTTCTTTTCTTTTTTATGATTTACTTCATGTTTTGGGTACTGGATTCATTATTTGGTTGGTTTCTAAAGGAAATTGTTCCTGGATTGTGGAATTCGACGAAGAACTCTTCTTTATATGTCTTCTACCACCTATTTATCTTTAATGCTGGGTAAGATATCAGTTCCATTATCATCTTCATGAAGTTATATGATTTTTGCAGTAGGTAACGTTTGGCTGTGAAAGCACCTTTGAGCTTCGAGATTATAAAGTAGATTGACTCAAGCGCAAAAGGATTATTCGAGAAAATGAAGATTGTCAACTTCGAGCTTCAGATTATTTTGGCATTTCCATCCTTCTTTGTCGTCGTATATTTCCGCAGTTTTAGTGTAATTCTATATTGTTTTTTTTAAATCATTTTTCGGAATTTTTGTGCCGCTATTGGAGCAATCTTGTCAGCTACAGATTCTGTATGCACCTAGCAAGTATGGATACACAATATCTCTTTTACATGTATAAATTTTTCATCGAGAACTAAGAATCGAGGTTTTTCCTCTTATTTACAGGTTCTTAATCAGGACGATAGACCTTTATTCTATAGCTTAGTCACTGTTACAAAAGGAGATGGGATTGCTTAGAGCTTATATAATCAAGATGTTAAACTATGGAAGGTACACAGCTGCAAACAATTTGATTAAGCCAACATCTTCTCTACTATAGTTTAGTTACATATATCGTTTTTCAATCTACGTCTCAACAAATTAGCGACTATTATGTCCAAATTATAGGCAATCAACTGATCGTATAGTTGCTCTTATGATTCTCATGGCTTACCTTTCTTATATGCTAGCCGAGGTGATTTTTACTTTATAAACTTCTCTACGTCCGACTTAGACTTCAATCTTACCTAGGAATGGTTAAGAATAGTTTTTTTACTACAACTAATCGTGTCCCCCCCTCTGCTATATCCCGATCCTTCATTTTATCCTTGATGTAAAAATACTTTTGACTTTACTAAGTGCATTGCCCAAGCATTTATGGGCCTTTTAGTTTTTGAATGAATGAGAATTGATGTGCTCGATCTTTTAGCTTTGATAATTTTGTGCGTTTTTATCTCGAGAATTATGAATAAAGTTCTAGTACTAAGCTTGACAAATGGTTCAAGCCTAGTAGAAGATGATTAATAGTCATTAATCCGATCTCTAAGGTTGGAATTTTTGCAAAGATTTAGGCTCGACGTACTACCCGAGCCTATCATGAAATATTAATCCCGACCTATAAGCTGGGATTTTGACAAAGGTTTAGGTTCAACAATAGTAGAATTCTCATTGTGTTCCTCTGTGATATCGTCATATGTCCCACTATACTTGGTATAATGTGACAAAAATCTCGAGTGACTACCAAACATGTAGGTTGTAGCATATTCGAGAACATCCTCTCATATGCAAGCATGTGCGCTTTATACCATTCTCATTATTGCCTTTTTCATACGATTTTTTTGTAGGCCTACTTTTGCAACATTGTCATTAATCTCGGAGATTTTCATTTTCCTTTATGTAGGAATGGATGTCTCAGATAGTATAATTTTGCTAAATTCAGTACAGTGGTAAGAAGATTAATCTCTTTATGAATTGAATGTGGATTCACTTGTTTTCTTATAAGAGCTTAGATTTGTATACACTTTACATATGTTTGGTTAGGTAGACTTTAAAAAGTTAAAATCTCATCCATACTAATGTTTAGTATGACATCTATGCTGTTTTTTTTGTGATTTTAACATGACTGTTACAGATAGAACAATGAAATATTGAAATCTGAAAACGCACAAATCTAACAATTTTGTTTGTCCTTCTCAAGTACTCGGATTGTTCACAAAGCCCCTTTTGAGGTTCTTGCTACCACGACCAGAACATCTTAGTAGTACTATTCCCGCAACCCTCTAGTCCGAAATATTTCATTTTGCTCCTTCTCGTCCATGAGCAAGAACCATCCAATTTACTAGTGCTGCTCCTAAGCACCTTGACTACAAACGGTCCATTATTATTGGAGAAGGTTTGATGATGCTTACATGCATGTCCCTTTTTTGGAGGCAAGGGATTTTGATTGACATATATTCCAGATTTATAGGAACATGCAGTATACACAAATACAACAACGAAAAAACATAAAATTTTGAAATACCAGCAATTTCTAAGGATGCTGGTAAAACATTTTTTTTTATTTTTTATAAAGGATTTTGCATCTGTCTTTGTTCTAATACAGAAATCATGCTAGCAAGATTCATTACATAGACAGTAAGCAAGATATCGTTTGCTTATAAATACAATAACAAGCCTTGTGATTGCCCATTTCTTGTTCTACTTTTCTTTCCTTTTCCTTTTCTGTTTTTTGTTTGATTATTTTTAGTAGAGACAGGAGAATGGAGCATGTAACAATGACAATGAAGGATTGGGGATATCCTTGTAACGTGGACGAGCACGGTCTGCGTTTAGGTATGTTAAACTGAACTAGATTGGACAATGTTGGGTTTAATCCACCCAATTCATGCTCAAACAGAAAAACACACCCAAGAACACATCGCTGCAGAAATCGAAATTAACACCAAAAATGTTAACCCAGTTCGGCTATGCCTAATCTAGGGGGCTCAGCTACCAGCCCAATCCACTAGTGTGCCAAAGAAACTTCCAGGGGGATATTTTACAAATGGAACTATTTTGCGGGTTTTCGCTCGCTAACAATTAAAAAGGGATCAGACGGTTGTGTAAGGGACAAACCTCTTGGAACAAAGTCTCAAAAAGAGGTGTTTATTAAATGTGAAGATTACAGTTTGGACAAGAACAAGATGCCTCCAAGGGGCACAAACACACAAGTACAAGGGATTTTGTACTGTCATCTCTTCACAGTTCCACTCTGTGAGAGAGAGAGAGAGAGAGGCAGCTGTAATTTTCCACCTGCTGATCGTTTCATTCCCGTGATTTTTCATGCATTCTCTTGCACACGGTGAATGTGAACTGTGTGAAAAGGGAGTGTATACCAGTGCTTAATTTTTTTCTTTTGTGTTTAGTTTTTGTTAAGAATATAAGTTGTTGGGTTGGGATTTTTTATAAGTTTTTGAAGGAAAGAAGAAAGGAAAAAAAAATGGTGGAGACAAAGAACAAGGTGTCATCAGACTATTGGTGGTTTGACAGTCACAACAAGAGTAACTCAAATCGATCTCCATGGCTTCAATCCACACTTGCAGGTAAACCTTCTTCATTTAGTGTTTTCTTTTTTTCTCATCTAAAAGTTTAAGCTGAAGAGATTTGAGAGACCTATGCTATATATCTAATGGTGGGATCTTGAAAATATTGTTTATTTGACAATTTTACACTTGTTTTATGCTAACTTTTTGAAGAGTTGACAATGTGAACAAAAGCATTAATGTTTGGGTGAAATTGCAATTTTGTCTTATGAAAGTAGAATTCAAATCAAAACACTCCACAAGGTTAAAGTCTTGTGGGTCGTAATCAGTATGCTAGAAGATAAAAGAACATTAGTTGTGTTAGACTTTTAGGCATACATGGATTCGCCCATTATGATTTTTCTCTGAACTGTTGCATAAGAACACGATTCCCTGTTGAATGTTTAGTCCACCACTTGATAATGTTCTAAAATTTCAAGATCTAGTCTTTGCAGTGTCAGAAGTTAATATGGAGGGATCCACAGGCATTACGAGTCAGTGGAACAGTATTGTGAATGCATGTCAGAGGGGTCCTTTGATAGAAATTTCAGGTCTTTTATGATATCCACTCTTAGACAAACTGTTATTAAGATGTTTGGTCACCAAGAAAAAGAAGTTACAATCTTATTTTCTCCAATGCTTTGAACCGAACATGTCCTATCTGTGATGGGATGGTGGGACGGCTGTAGTTTTTAATAGCCTAATGATTTATGGAACACCTGTAGTTTCGTTTACATGTATAAATGCAAAGTGTGGTTACTTAGTAAAGATGAGAAAGATTTGAGGAATCTTGTTCTTTTAAGTGCTACATTTTCAGTAGATTCATAAAAAATTATGATGTCTGATCCATCGATGCCTTAATGTCTTTATTCATTAGATGATATTTTCTCTGCAGTTGGTTTCAATTCAGTAAGTGGTAGGTGGTGTACAAATTGGGAAGACATAGTAATGGCAATAATTGCACAGAGTTTGTATCATTCTTATGAAAATCTTGAAAATCTTGCAGAGCTTGATGAGAAAAAGAGAAAAATGCTGAAACTAGTTGAGGAAGATGCGGATTCCTTCGCCAAACGTGCAGAAATGTACTACAAGAGAAGACCAGAACTCATTAACATGGTTGAAGATCTTTATCGAGCCCATCGCTCACTAGCTGATCGATATAATCAGGTCAAGTCTGAATCTACAACCCACGTTGTAACAACACCATGGTCATCTCCGTTATCTTTTAACAAATTTTGACTTGAGAAGTCAATAAGCTTGTGTGATAAAGCATATGATAGCTACTCAGAGACTTATGGACCTGAGGAATCGGATGACTCCGAGTTTGACGATCGAGATGAAGTTGAAACAGTACAAGATAATGACGTAACTGAAACAGAAGAACTGATGAAGCTGAAAGAAGAATTGAAGAGACTCGGAGAAGAGAATGAGGTTCTCAAGGAGCAGCTACTGCAAAAGGATGACGAGAAACGGGAAGACATTAGACAACTGAGTTTAGCCATGGATTTGCTGAGGGAGGAAAATATCGAGCTGAGGAAGAATTGTAATGCTTTAAACACGCCAAAGAAAGAAAAGCCCCATTCAACAAGTCGAATGACGGTTTCTTGGGGAGGTTGTTCAATGGATTTCTACCATCACAGACTAATCTATCTGCTTTTTAGAGTCTAGATATGAATATATGCCATTGGGCAGTATGTATTGATATATAGCATATGGTGTGTAAGGATTTATATAGCATATGGTGTGTAAGGATTTTATATCAGTCGTAGGAATTTTCTCTGAACTATAACTTGGTATAGTGCGTTTGTTACCATTAGGCCTAATTGCCACATTTTCATCCAATATCCTGTTAATCTATAATATTTGTTGAGCATGTAGAGAGGCCAAATGCCATCATCCAAGAACTTAAAGTGTGTGTATGTTCTATAGAAAGGTACTTGCTGCATCTTTGGTGCTGGGCGGTTGAGTTAGTAGAACAGATTTTTTTGCACCGAAGGATTCATTGTACAGAGTCAACTACAAAATCTGAGTGTCTGCTTTACATGTTTATAGTTCATTTTGCTTATTACTTATCCCGTAGTTAGAATGAGGGCTTCATTCCTGGCACCAACCATTCAAATTTGCTTTGTCTAACAGAAGATATCTTTGAACTAATATATTTTATTAGAGTTCAATAAATTTTCATAAAAATGCCATACACCTCAATAAGCCAGTTTCTACTAGCAATCTTTACATACTAAACTTGACAACAAATAACAATCTACATATATATAATCTTTAGAAGAAGTAAAAACTTCAACAATAATTGGAGTAGTCAACATCAGAATACCTTGGCCTTCAATTTTGTGCACCAGAAAGCTACATTGATCAAAATGCTACCAGAGACAGAGCCAAAATGAAACATACAGATCCCTGCAAGTTTAGAGCCAATGCAGAGGAATCCGGCAGGAGCCCCTCTGGCGGAAGTGCGACTCCGGGGCCTGGAGCTGCCATTACATCAGGATTTGGGGGGCTGGGGCTGGAAGGAATAGTAGGCATTGAGGACTCACTTGGAGAAAGCTCAGAGCCACCTGGAGAGGGAAAAAGTGGAGCAATATCTGGTGATAGAGCTGGTGGTGGCGCAGATAATGGAGGATAAGGCAATAATGCAGGTGCAGCAGAAATGGTAGAGGCTGGTTCACTCAACTGGGATGCCTTTTTTAAGGCTAATGAAGAGGAAAATGCCATGAAAAACATAGCAAAAATGAGGAATGAACTTATGGAGGAAACCATTAATTCTTTAGAGGGCACTGAAATGAATGTGTTGATTTTTAAGATAATGATGAAATGAATGATTGGAAGGGAGGAAATTTATCAATATATCACTATGGTGGTTGGTTTTGGAAGTTGGATAATATGTTATAGGATAGTATAAAAGAAGAAGTTTGTGCTCTAATTTTCAGTTCTGTCAAGTACTGCATCCAAAACATTATCTTGATGACATATTCAATAAGAAGGGTGAAAAGAAGCTAAAACCTCGTTCAGTACATGTAGCATAACACAGTATTGGAAAAGATAAAAAAGTTGAAATCTTGTTCATTATTATATTGGTCAGTCCTATTGACATCTACTACGTTTGCCACAAAAATCTAGAGAACTTTATGGTGGGGGCTAAAATGCCAGATTGTCAAGTTGAGCAAAGAGACAAGATTTGATGAATGGCATTTGTTCTGGAAACACATGAAGGGTGAATAGGTTGCTTATGTCCTTTTCCTAAATGACTGTTCCTGTTTTCAATATTCATAGCCCGTGAAATTCTTCTGTCTGAAGAAAAACCATAGATATTTATATTATTCAAATTCCACATGGGATGCTTTCTATTCAATTTGGAATAATTTGAGTTCTTGGATTTAAACTTTGGATGGATGAGATTGAATTTCAGCTAAAGGGCTGCACCAATAATTTGATTATCAATCTTTTACGTTCAAAAATTTTCAATTTTTGAAAAGATAAGATGACAAATTTTTCTGCAAATTGAATATAAAGTTTATGAAAAAGACAAATGATAATTACCTTACCTTGGTGAAATGGAGCCCATGTTTTGTAGTAAAAGATCAAATGTTCGTTGCCTTTAGTAAAATAAGCATTATTCTTTCCCTAGTTTATCCCCACCCTATCTCACCTCCCCCACTCCTGCATCTCCACTGCGGCTGCCCCGCCCTCGGGCAAGGGGGGAGGTTTGGAGGTGGAGGTGAGTAAGAAAAGGATATTCAGATTATGATGAAAAAGACAATTTATATAATTTCTCTAACAGTTAAGCTTTTAGAT